TTGGTTACAAGAAAGTCGTGTCCTAGTAACGCGTCGCAATACAAATTGTCTAGGATGGTAGCTTCGAATTTTATATCGAGTGTACCTATCCTAGCTTCGAATGTGGAGGTGCCACTGGTTGTTGCAGTGTGACCGTCAGCCATCCGGACTGTGTTTGTTGGTCCGTGGGGAGGTGTTTTGCCGTATTTACGGGCTACTGTCGGGTTTACGTACGATTTTTGTGCCTGCGAATCTAATAGAGCTGTTACGAAGCCTGACGGAAATTCGAGCTCGACCGCGGGGGTCGGAATTTTGTCTGGGCGTGTTCGCGTATCATTATTAGTCGTAGTGCAATCGGTCGAGCTGGACAATTGGTTCTTAACCGCGACGGGAACTGTCTGGTCGTCGGTGTCAACCGCCATGACCATACTGTCAACGTCGGTTGCCTCGTTGCTCGCCTCTTGCTTTACGTGCGCAGACTGACCTAATGCGGGGGTAAGCGTGGTGTGTGTGCTTGTATCCCCGTCACCTGTGCAGGTGAACACCCGTGTCTCTGTTGCCTTTGTCCCTACACCTGTGGCTGCCCCATGAGCCGGTTGTTGTTGAACACACGTGTCACCGGTGAGGTGAGTGTGTTCTGTGGTGGGGTGGTGTAGGTTGGGGGTCTGTGAATGGGTGCCGATTGGTGATGAGACGGAAAAAATTTTCGTAGTTGGTTTTTCTGTGTGTTGAATTACCGAACTACGCGCTTTTCGATTACGTGTTTTTTTCCGTGTGTACTACCGATAGTGGTTGGTGATGGGTGGGGGGGTGGTGTTGAGTCGATGGGGGGGACTAGTCCCCGTCGACTCCCCCGCCGTTTCCCGACGTGGTCGGTTTGTGTGGGCACTTACTGTTCCAGTGGAGTTCCCCACAATACCTGCACGGCCCCGGTGGGTGATCATCTGTTGTTTTTTTAAAAATTTTTTTTTTGACCGGGGCGGCTGTTTGTGGGGTATCCGCCCGGTTTTTGGGTTTTGGGGCCCATTGTTGGGGGGTCGGTTTGGTGCTGTCCGTTACCGGGTCCAAAACGCCTGCGATGCGTCGTAGCTCGTTGAACGTCAATGGCCGTTGTAGACGGATGTGTGTTCGGAAAGTGTCGCGCGTTAATCCTGCTATAATACCTACCAATTCCGACTCGGATAGGCCGGTATTTACGCGGCGCGCTTGCTGGTTTTTGACTAGCACAAATTCCGTTAGAGATTGTCTAGACGTTTGTCGTGTTGACACGATGTCGGCGCGCAGTTGGGATTGGATTTCCGAATTGTTGTAATTTTCTAAAAACTCAACCCTAAATTCTTCCCAGGATAGGTCGAGTATTTTTATGGATGCGTACCATACACTCGCCGTTCCTTTTAACTGCGGCTCGACCGCCCTGCACCAACCCGAGGGGTGTATACGAGCTTGCACCAAAATCGACTCGGTATTATTAATGTACCGTACGGGGTCCTCGGCCCTTGTTCCTGTGAACTCGGGTAACGAAGCTCTTGCTGTGCGCAAGTCGTCGTACGGTATTAGTACCGAGCGTTCATGCGCGCGTGCTTCGTACGGCGCGTATTGTGACGCGCGTGTGGTGTGACCCGTATAGTCATTCGTTTCGCGCGCGAAGAACGGTCGGTTGTTCGCGTCGGCAATGTGGCTGGCGCTGTGTTGAGCGCCGCCGTCATTGAGCTCATATGACCTACCCGACTGGTGACTATCGTGTGGACGATTTGGCATCTGTACGGGTGACGGGTGGTTATCTAACCGCGGGGTTGCTACACTGTTTGGCGGTTGGGTGGTTGCCTGGCGCGATTCTGTGAAGAACCGCGTCATGCTCGCTTCCAACGCGCCTAAACGTGCCTCGAACGATGTTGAGTCGTTCGTTTGTGGCAACATTAATTTTAACTGATGTAGTTGTTTCGCCGCGGTTTCGAAAATGTCGGTTGTTAAAGGTTGTGCGGACTGGCCCTGCTGCATGGTCGACTGGAAGCCGCCGATTTCTGGCCGGTTGTCTGTGGGTTTTTGACTTGCTGTTGGGCTTGTCAAAATTCCCCCAGGCGGTTGTCCGAAAATCTGGCTGGCGTTCGTGTTTTCCAGCGTTGATGTCATGTGTTGTTGTTGTTCAGTACTGCCCTGGAATCCTACGGTTCCAGGCTGCACTGTTACGAACTTCACATTCTCGGGGACTAGTCCGCTTGCCCTAAGGTGCTCCTCTAGCCGGACGTACACATCCGACTTCGTCCCGGATGCGCTGAGGCCGCGGGCCGTGCACTCGCTACGTAGCTCCGCCGACGACAACTGCTGTAACGTTTTTTCCGACATTGTGTAAAATTGTTTACCGATGTGGTCGTTACGCTGTTGTATGGTCAGTGGATTGTGCTTGTTGTGCGGTGCGCACGGTTTTGAGGAGGCTTTTTGTTTTTTTTTCGATAAATTTCGCGCGCTAGCTACGATAATTTATATATTTATTATTTATGATTGTGTAACAGATCAGCTGACGACAGTGCCGCCGTTGCGTACCAAAAATAGTGGTACTGGGTCAACGACCTCGGTGGTGGCAGCTGTCGGCTGCGGCGGCTGAACCGGTTTTTGGCCTGCGCGCTCTGTTTTTATCGTCGATAATGTCGCGGTGCGAAAGGTAGGCGTTGCGGAGGGGTGGTGGTTGTTATATAACTACTTCCCAATCCGTATCACGGTTATGCACGGCTGCGCGGATTTCCCTGTTACGTACTAAAAATAATTGTTACGTAATGTTCTCTATGGGGTCCTAGCTAACCGGTAAACACACTCCTGGTCGAATAACTTATTACTAATTAAATATAAGCAGTTAATCCGAGGTATGTGTCAGCGTGAAAACTCTTACCTTGTCGCTGACTTGAGGAGATTCCTCTGCGGGGAGCCAATTTGACGCGGCTACGGCGGTGTTAGAATGATGTCCGCGGTGAGCCGGTCGAAATATGATGGTGAGGAGTGATCACAAAAAAAAAAAACAAATGTAATGCGTCTGAGGTTGAGAAATACGTTTTTATTTTCACACCAACTATATAACGGCAACAACGTGGTAATTACAACAAACAGATAAACCAACTACGAAAATTTTTTCCGTCTCATCACCAATCGGCACCCATTCACAGACCCCCAACCTACACCACCCCACCACAGAACACACTCACCTCACCGGTGACACGTGTGTTCAACAACAACCGGCTCATGGGGCAGCCACAGGTGTAGGGACAAAGGCAACAGAGACACGGGTGTTCACCTGCACAGGTGACGGGGATACAAGCACACACACCACGCTTACCCCCGCATTAGGTCAGTCTGCGCACGTAAAGCAAGAGGCGAGCAACGAGGCAACCGACGTTGACAGTATGGTCATGGCGGTTGACACCGACGACCAGACAGTTCCCGTCGCGGTTAAGAACCAATTGTCCAGCTCGACCGATTGCACTACGACTAATAATGATACGCGAACACGCCCAGACAAAATTCCGACCCCCGCGGTCGAGCTCGAATTTCCGTCAGGCTTCGTAACAGCTCTATTAGATTCGCAGGCACAAAAATCGTACGTAAACCCGACAGTAGCCCGTAAATACGGCAAAACACCTCCCCACGGACCAACAAACACAGTCCGGATGGCTGACGGTCACACTGCAACAACCAGTGGCACCTCCACATAGTTCCATCTTTCCCAATATAGTATGGCAACATTCTCATGCTAAGTGGTAACTCATCATCTGATTCATGGTAATTATCATCGTTTATAATCGCATTATCTACGAAATTATATTCTGCCTGTTCTGAGTTTTCTTCATCAGAAATATCGGATTGTTCAGTATCAGTGTTATGATCTTTTTGTAACATTTCAACATTATCCTCTTCTTCGTCACTTGAGTTCCCCCCCCCCAAATATCTTCATTATCATCGAAATCGTCAATGAACGCTTCAATTCGTCGACGTTCTAATTCATCCATTTCCAAATATAATATAATAGTACGGAAAAAAAAATACTTATTTCGTCGCGCGGGGTAAAAATTTGCCAAACTCAAACACACACACTTCGAACGCTGGTATTGAACGTACTAACTGATAAAACGTTAAATAAACTTAATATTATCTACTAATGACTTATAAATAGAAGCTAGATAAAATCCCAACACTGTCATACCAACTTAAATAATATTAAAACATAGTTTAAAATTAGTGGGGTAATAAATTACCCCGCGCGACCTACTGAAGGTGATGATTGACTTGATACACTTTAACATGCAGGTTTTTTTTTTTTTTTTTTTAATTAATACATATACACTATAGGTCATGTTTATATGTATTGTATTGGTTAATATAATAGTATGTATCTAACTATCTACCTATATGTTAATTTTTTTTAGGAATTATAATTGCACATTTCTCAAAATGTTCATTGTTATATTATATCACACAATAAATACATATCATATTTGTTTGTATGTATATTGTATATAGTTTGAATTTTTCGTAAATTATTTCGTAAGTTGTCAGATAGGGTTTTGACTTGACGTCGGGTCTGCTACTTGATTTGCTGTAGCACATTGTCCGCGATCCAACGAAGTCGGATTGCCTACCTAAGTGGCTAACTTGAAAGTTAATAGATTTTGACTTGAGATGACTGACTTGCTAGAAACTCCAACACGGTTTTCGACTTTACACTTTTTACATAAGATAAAGCACCGGTCATGCAACTGCACATACAGTCGTTGCCAGATAAATTGAGCCGGCGGCGGCGGCGCTTTTCAGTAAGTGTAGCAAAAACTAGTCGCTGGCAGTGTGGTGCATAGGTCACACAGTTGGCTACGACGCGCGCAGTCACCAGTTCAAACCCGGCTCAGTGCAAACAATTTTCTGTACTCTCTCTCCCATGCCATCGTTCTGGCTGCAGTACACTGCTAAAAACAACTAACCTAACTCGGTGTGTTTCGACGGCGTGGCGGGGCGGGTCATCAACAGTTTGTAAACAAAAAATGGAATCTATGGGTAATTCTGAGTGGGGAACAGTTTGTGCAAACGTGAACAAATTAGAAACAGAAATGTGGAAAAATGAAAGTTATATGGACACCGAAATGCATAAATTAATAGTAACGTACGGAGAAGATACAACTGACGACAGCGATACAAGTACTGAAGATGAAGACGATGATTTAGGTGTAGCACCACTACAGCCATAACAAACTATTGTTATGTATATTAAAATTGTAATTTATAATATTATAATGTATAATTTATAGTTGTTGTTATTATTTTATCATATCATTAATATTATTTATTATTATTATTATTATTATTATTATTTTATTATTTTAAAATGTCTGCTTTTTGTTAAAAGATTATTATCAGAATATTGGATTTTAAATTAATATCGTAAAATAATTTTTGTAACAATTGTTGGTTTATTGATGCATTTTCGGTAATAGTATTGAAATACGGAGAACCACTGGTTTTCCGTTATCGGGCCGCCGCCACCGCCGGCTCAATTTATCTGGCAACGACTGTACCACCACAGAATATAACAATCAGAATGGACACTGATAACATTTTACATAGGCAGCATAGGACAATTGCTTGAGTCAGTCGGCCATGACACCGGCAGCATACAGTAGGGCCAGTTCAACCGAACAGTTTGACCAGTTTTCACTGAAAAAAAAAAGTGGAACCCATTTTTACAATAAAAAATCTTATAAAATCATGATAACGTAAAAACGTGGTACTTATCATTATTATACTCAGTGTGAACATTTATACAAACGTAAAGATTCTTTATTTTGCCATAGCAATGTGCACACTGTTTGATGCCGGTGTCATGGCCGACTGATTCTATATTAACGGCCCGCCGCCCAAGAGTGTCCACCCCTGGACCACTCTATACCCTGTTCAAAATAAGAAGCGACCTGATTTACGCTTGAAAACCGGTTTTACTAGTGGCCGCCGAATCGCTTCTTAAAATGAACAGACTATATATAGGTGATCCTGGAGATCGTATCCATCAGCCTATCCATTTACAACGTTTGTGACGGATTGCTAGACGCTCAAACTTTTAACATTCCCACCAAAGCGTCTAGCCTTATCTCCAATCCATAACACTAATCCTTATCACAAATCCTAAACTTTCGTCTTACAACCTTTGCGATTTTTATAATTCATTGTCTTCAAAATCGGTACCCACTCCCAGCGAGTCCAACGGTCCCCGAGTTACATTTAGAGCTAGTATATATATAATATATCGTATTATATTGGTATGTTATGATGTTTTCGTTTATGTTTAACCTTTGTTTTTTTTCCATGTGCTGTCAAACAAAAGTTGGAGTTATGCCAGGTGTGCGGCTACGCTGGGTCCTGTGGAAGGCACTACGGTGCATGGGCATGCAAATCTTGCAAGAACTTCTTCTACAGGATCCCCAAAAGGATTGAACCATTCAAACCTTGCAAAAAAGGCCCAAACTGTCAAAAATTAAATGACTGCAAGGAGTGCCGGCTTCTAAAGTGTTAAGAAGCCAGCATGTGGCATGACCGTAAGCGTTACACTATAATAGCCGTATATTTATAATAAAATAGAACACTGATAAATCACAGAAAAATAAAATGTGTCGGATTTTTCCGGACTGCTAGAGTATAACGTAATACACACGCGGGGCCTATAATATATAGGAACACTGCTAGTATGTAAATAAAATATACTTTCAATACTAACTATACTCCATTCACGTTAAGAAGGAACCTCGGCGGCGACCAGTTTTCGTCAGGCGGGGGTCAGGCAACACCTGTTTGTCACCCCCACCGATTAACCATGTGTGTGATTAAGCCACGCCCTTGCGCACAAATCGGCCGCCGAGGTTCCTTCTTAACGTTAATGGAGTATAGGTCTAAATAACCAAACTCATATGTTGCAGCAACTAAATTTAATAGTTGATTATACTAAACGAGTTAGCATACAATTATAGTTCCAATCTAATAATTAGGTTTAAACAACCAAAATCATATGTTGCATCAACTCAATTGAACAGTTGATTGTACTATGCCAGTAAGTAAGAAAAAATATTTTCAATCTAATAATTAGGTTATTTTAACTATAACGTTATGTTGTTGTAGCTATTTAATGTCGATCATTTTCAACCATATAAAATGGTTGTTCCAACACAGTAATATCAACTATAGACGATTAGGTCTCCAAACCATGTTGAATGATAGTCTGTATAGCTACCATGGTTTATGGTTGGGGTAACTATTTAAATGGTAACTGTAACTATTTTTTTTTCCGTGTACCCACGATCGACGCTATTTGCATAACCGAGTGTAGTGTAATTAAGTTTGTCTTAATTTAACATGCGGTGTTGTGTACCAAATTGTGTAGGTATCATAGGCGTGCACACGGGGGGTGCAGGGTATGCAACTGCACCCCCAGCGAGTTCATTTTAGAAATAGATTGATATATAAATAATATTTTTTAAGTTTATAATTTTTTTCAAGCCCGCGGCCACACGTGAGTGCAGCAGCAGGCTGGTATGTACGATACACGGTTAAAATCGTTTTCTGTTATCGCGGCTCGATTGTCGATAGTTAGGTATCGTAAAAGTGGCTACACCAAAAGTTATTTATAACTTCTGAAATGCTATTATTAATTGTGATAACTGATAATAAAACACATTAGTGACTGTTGTTGTTTACAGTAAGAATCTCTGGCAGCGTAGTCGTAGTGCAAAATAATTATTTTATGGTGGGTAATGTACTCGCGTGTTTGATTTTATTGATTTAATATATTAATTATAAAGAAGTTTCAGAAATCAATCCAGAAGATGTAATTGATGAATTCAAGTCTATGTACCCAGGTACACGTCGTCTTGAATCAGTGGCGTCCGCAGGATTTTTCAATGGGGGGGGGGGGCTTGAAAATTAGTTACAAATTTATTTTTATTTTGTCCAGTCTAAAAATTTCAGACGTTTATTTGAGGTATTTTGAAATGTTTGTAACTTTTCAACTTTTCTGATAGAAAAAATGCTCTTATCATAAGCTTCGATGCCCAGTGTATGTTTTTGGAAGCAAATTGGATTTAGTTGGTACTTTTAGGAGGTCGAAATTGAATCTGCTCAGTGCTTTTAAAAGTACCTAATTGGAGAAAAAAAAACGAAAACTTATTTAAATTGTTTGGTAACAATATCTTGGTTACAGTGACGTATTTATGGGGGGATATGGGGGATAGACCATCTCCCTTACCCATGTTTTTCCATGTATAAAGTACAAACTGCTGCAGTACTGTTGTTATTTATAATTTTGTTATCCTGTGGGCATGTGAGTGACATTACACAACATTTATTATTATTATATACCTTACATGGAGTAGGTAACTAACAAAAAGTTGCAATAGCACAAAACAAATTTTGATATCCCACTCCTAAAGAAAATCCTATATACGCCCCTGCTTGGTTATATAATCCTCACTTGGATTGTATTTGACTAATTAAATTTTTTTTTTATAAATGTCAATAAAAAATTATTTATCCGGTCGAAAAGCTTAAAAATGTAATACGCAAGTTTTTTTTACATATGCATTTAAAGTTCAAAACTTATAAAATATAAAATATGTATAGCTAAGGCTAGACATTTAATACAAGGTCTTTCATACAAGTAGTTCATTCTTTTACCGAAAAATTACAGATAATTTATGAAAATTGGTATGCAAATACAATGTTTTTTCAAAAATGAATTCATTCTGGTAAGACATATATGAAAGTTACGTCTTGCTTACTATAGTTGACAGTTTAAACTTGATTCATATTTTTTTTAAAAAGTAATAATAATACCGGCAATGGGGGGGGGCTTTAGCCCGTTACCCCCCCCCCCCCCTGCGGACGCCACTGTCTTGAATTATAATTTATAAAATTATTGACTTCTAAGAGAAATGAAATTATTAAAAAAATAATTATTAATTTTTTTTTTTTATTATTAATCCTGGCCCGACTTGTTACATGGCTAGGTAACATACTAAAATTTTCAATTTGTACTGTGCACCCTCAGCAAAAATGTCCTGCGCACGCCTATGGTAGGTATTGGTAGTACTTTTGGCATACCTAAAAATGCGTTTAATTTGTGGCAAAATGCTCTTGGTATAGAGTTGAAATCCAACTATAGAGTATGTGAGGTACATTTCAAAACTGATGACATCATTAAAACATGGGTTTCAGGCCAAAGTCAATTTTCGGTTAGTGAATATTAATCTAATACTTAATTATTTAGATAGGCTCAATCATAGATTAATATTGATCTATAAGTTCACCTTAATGTCATTAGTAGTTTTAAATATTATCTCTTAGATATGTTACAAAAGGCCTAAATTACGGGAAGGAGCAGTACCTATTATTTTTTTTTTAATAGGTATATAGCAAGACGTTTAGTCAACAGAACAAATTGTGATATGTGTATAAAATTGTTAAAAACTCTTAACACTTCAGAAAACTTAATTGGTAAAGAAGCCGATTTAATTAATTTGAAGACAAAAGGGTTTCTTACTTACCCCAATAGTAATTTATATATTATAATTAAACACATAGAAGAATGCTTTGCCATACATGCCAATTCAAATGATGTTTTTGAAAAAACATTTGAAGAATTTTTCAAAAAAAAATATAAATTTAAAATTTCCATGTACCATTCGTCAACATCAAACGGATATGCTAACAAATATGTTTTCCTAGGTACTATATAACTATGCGCATGAGGCAATATAGTTATATGCAAAACCAAGCCAATAAAAACTAAACAAAACAAAATAAAATTGTCAAAATTGGTTAAGACATAATAAATTAATGTTTAAAATGAATAAAACTGTTTTCGTTTAATAATACTCGATGATTGATAATCATAAGATTTTTACCTGAAGTATTTCTCATTTCTTGTTACGGAATAAAATATCCCAACAAAAACACTTCGTTGAACTCCGTGTAAAAAATTGCTAAGTAAAAAAAAACTAGTCATCTATAAGACTTCAGCATTATAAAGATGTGATATCAAGAATAAATGCTAAGTAAACTAAATTTTAAATTAATTGATTCTATCTCAATCATTTATTTACTTTGCGAGAATTTATTTTCTTTATAAATTAATAATTAAGACTTTTTTATAAAACAAATTTAGTAACATTTGTCATGGAAATTTGTTAAATAGTCCAGTTATGAATAGACATGTTTATTTGTCGAAATATATAAATTCTAGCCAAGTAAATAAATGATTGAGATAGAATCAATTAATTTAAAATGTAATTTACTTAGCATTTATTCGTGATATCACATTTTATAATGTTTAAGTATTATAAATTACTAGTTTTTTTTTAAGTGTAAGTCAACTTAGCATTAATTTATGATATCACATATTTATAATGCTGAAGTTTTATAGATGACTAGTTTTTTTTTACTTAGCAATTTTTTACACGGAGTTCAACGATGTGTTTTTGTTGGGATATCAGTAGTTTTTTTATAACATATTTTTATGTACTGGCATGTAATATGTAATGTTTTATATTATTTTCATAACACCTTGAAACACTTTAGCTCGTTGTATTAAAATTGTTTCATAGTCATTTAAATTAGAAAGTACATGGAGTGTATCTCGAGAATGCAATTTTGTAAAAAGATACTTTTAATTTGTATTTAAATAGAGATACAAATACATCAATTTAAAAAGTATTTAAATAGTATTTAAAGTACTTCTTTCAATAAGTATTTAAGAACAAATACAAATACTTAGAAAGTATTTAAACACAAATACTTATTTTAATACATTTGTTTTAAGTTTTACCTTTGGGTTCAATACTTTTTCTCTGATATTTTAACTTTAAATTTGACCATGAGATCAAACTCATTCAAACTGTACATATTAATTATTATTATATAGTTAATACTTAATAGTTCATATACAGAGCCGTGTCAAGCAATTCAGCGCCCCGGGGCAATTCGAGCCCTTTCCCTACAATTTGGGCTCCAAGTAGCATATTAAGCTCAAATAACGACGCCCCTTACTTTTACAAAACTATGGCGCCCGGGGGCAATTGCCCCCTTTGCCAACCCCCCTTAACACGGCTCTGTTCATATATTATAATGCATGTTCCATATTATGGTACTAACCAAGGTACCGTCAACCCGGGTGACTTGGAACGATTTTCACCTTTTAACTACTGTAACACATTCATTATTGATAATTAAATTCTGTAAAAAATCATGCAGTGTCGCACACCTCCAAGGAATAGATTGAGCAAAAAAAAAATTAAGGTCTTAAGTAAATTAAGGTAAAAAAAAATAAAAAGTGCTTGTTCCAAGTCACCCGGATTTTTGGGTGACTTGGAACATGCGTTTTTTCAAATGCAGATTGCATTTAATCATTTGTGGAAGGTCACTTGGAACGCTACAATTATTTTTAAAAAAAAAAAAGTGTTAAAAACCATATTTTTTATTAATTTAACATTTTTTTTTTTTAAACAAGGTACCTCCTATTTATTATCAACTTATACTTTTTTTTATAATTGCAGTCTTTGCTCATAAAATATGTATATTTAACAAACTTATTTATATAACAAAAAATAAAAGAACAGCTTACACTGAATAGTAAAACAATAAATATAACATAAATATTTCTTTTTTATACCTTACAATTTAATATTTAAAACAAAAAAAAACAATTGTTAAAAACAATATTTTTAGTAATTTAAAAACTATTTAACATTTTTTTTTAAACTTTATTACCAAATAATACTTTTTTTTAGGTATATGTTGCAGTCTTTGCTCCTAAAATAAATGTAGTCAAAATATTTATATAACTAAACTTTTTATACAACAAAAAATATTTCTTTTTTAAACCTTACAATTTAATATTTAAAACAAAAAATAAAACAGTTTAAACTGACTTGTAGAACAATTGGTACAACAAAAAAACTCTTTTACTCTTCTTTTTTAAACCTTACAATTTAATATTTAAAACAAAAAACAATATAACAATAACAAAAAAAATCTTATTGACTTTAGGAACTTAATTTTTATTCAAATTTAAAATTACCTCTTCTCTCTGTTAGAACCTTTAATTTTTTTACAACTTGATCTAAAGTAACATATGCTTCATCTATAATGAATGGAAAAGAATAACATCCTCTCATACTTTGGCTCTTTCTTAGGAACCGGCATAGTATGTTCTCTTCCTCTATTTCAGTAATTTGGCCCATGTATTCTTCAAAGTTGCTTCTTATAGTTTCAAATTTTACCTTAACAAAATCATCTACTTTTAGGTTATTAATATTAATAATTACAGTCTCACCGTTTTCTTCAGTCTCATAATTTCCTTCAGTCTCATAATTTTCTTCAGTCTCATAGTTTTTTTCACTAATTGTATTTAGTTCAGTCTCATTAGGGTTAAGTTCAGTATTTGGGTTTAATTCTTCTTCATTATTAAGCTCTGTGTCAAGTCCAAGGTCTTCTCCTTCATGAAACATATTAGCTTCAGTTACACTCCGGCCCGGCTCTATATTAAATCTTTTTCTTTTGCATTTCTTTGCTGGTCCATCGTTAGAACCAAATCTAGTTTCCTTAAACAAATCATGCAATACTTGTGGGATAATAGAAGAGGCTGAGGACGAGTCTGGATCCCCGGGTAATTTAATCAACACTTTATCTCGGTCTATCGGGTATATGCCAGTAGCTTTAAACCCAGATTTTATATTATCAGATTGAGAAATTTTAAGTTTATCTAATGTTGCTTTTAGAATTTTCGGAAACACATCTTTAGTAAGTGGTCCTTTTTTTTTTAATTTATGCATCTTTAATACCCTACGCCATGCTATTTTCATGGGACGAAAACAACACACATCCAATGGTTGAGTCAGGTGTGTGCTGTTGGGTGGCAGAAATATAAATTTAATATCATGTTGTTTACAGAGCTTAACAATATTGACTGAAATATGGCTAGCCAAGTTGTCACCAATAATAACTTTTATACCTACCAAACGACGGCAATGTGGAATGATTATGGTTTGAAACCATTCTTCAAATATTGATTGATCAAACCACCCAGAGTGTGATCTGTTGTATCTACATCCTTTTGGCCCTCCTAACGTCCAAGGTTCCCACATCTGGAGGGATTTGTAAACAACATATGGAGGAAGCATAACACCAGATGCATCAACAGCAAACATAACCGATGTAGCAGACTTTGTTGAATCCATTACTGAATCAGCATGTTTGGTTTTTTTCCTCACTAAAACTTTTGTTCTACCCGGATCATCTATAAAATTTGTCTCATCATAATTGATAATGTTTTCCGGTGGTACATTTTCTAAACTTAATTCAAGATTATTAAAATATTCATTGATGATAGTTCTTGAGACAGCAGCTCGTGATCTTTTGATATTCTCAGATAGTCTAGGTTTCAAAACATCAGAATATCTGTCTAAAAAACGTGAGTACCACTCATCGCCAGGTTTATTATCTTGAAATATCTTCAATTTTCGCCCAGCACGATCTAAGTAAGACTTTACCAATGTTTTAACGTCCTCCCTTTCAAAAGGATAACCCCAATCAGATGCAAATAATATTGTTTCTACAATAACATTTTCTTCAGTAGAAGTTAAAGCGGTTTGGCCTCCGTGGGGTTTAACATTTAGGTTGTTTTTTTTCCTACTTAAAGTACTTATCGGTATACCATACTTATCTGAAGCCTTTCGGTAACTCAAACTTTTATTTCGGATTTCCTTTAGTGCATTTTCCAAAGTTTCTGCAGCAAAATTTCGGTATGTACGACTGCCAGGTATTCTTTTATAATAGTTCGGCATGTTCCAAGTGACCCACTTTTTTTTTAACTAAAATAAAAACAACCCTGAAAAATGTAAATAATATTATTTCCTAATTCTACTAAGCGATTAACACTAACAACACATTAGGAATTCACTAAAAAATAACAATACCTTGATTTTAGAAGCTCAAGTTCCACTTTCAAAGCTCTTAAATTAGGAGTTGAAAATTTGGATTTTTTTTACTAAATTATGGTTGTATCACATGGATTATTGATAAGAGATAACACATTTTCGATGATAACAAAACGTTTACAAAACGTTCCGAAAAATATTTTTGTGAAGGCAGAATTTTATTTCCCTTATCTAGCATAAAATTAACCGCTGTTATCAAAAAATAACACAATTGTTCCAAGTCACCTCCCAGTTCCAAGTCACCCGGGTTGACGGTACCTATAATTGTATGATAAGTTAATAATCACCGAATGATCGTTTTAAATATTTATTGTATGAGAACTAAATAGATATTATAAGAACCTTTATCTCCACAACAAACTAGCTTTGGGAGAAAATAATTTATTTATAAATGCTATATTTCTGTAGTGAAAACATTTGTATTAATGTATATATTACGTATGTATACTATTCAATTATTCAACAGGAAAAAAAATAAGATCATAAGTAAACGTAAAGTCGTAAACCGAATCAGCTGATTGAGTTTCGCTTCATTATGGTTCTATGTTTATTGTTTGGAGTTTAACAATAATATTTTGCATTTTAGGAGGCTATGTCGGGAATAAACTTACTAAATTTCAATGATATTACTCATGACTATATTATTATTTAGTCATGATATTAATTTGATTTCTGAGAAAAAAGGTAATAAATAATCATTTATTATTGAAAAAAAAATCGATAAAGTATTTAAATAAAAGTATTTGATTTTCAAATACAAATACGTCCAAAACTGTATTTAAAATACTTTCCAAATACTTTATTCAAAAAGTATTTAAAAAGTATTCTAAATACAATAAAAGTATTTAAATACATTTACTCAAATACTTTACAAGACTGCTAGCTGTATAGTTAATGTTCTTATTTATTACTTTTTTTAGTTTTTTAAATGTCTTTTGATAAATAACAACGTTTTGCTTTCTGAATTTAAAAACCCATTTCAAAATCCTATTTATAAAAATTCTAGACTTATACAGTGGCATATTTAATTTATGCATAAGTTTATTAGTCCACTTTTCTACACTTCCATAAAATGGAAATATTTTTTTTGATTTCTTAGAAATTTTTTTTCATGGTTATGGTGATCGAATTTTTTATTAAACTTTCATTCATACACACTGTATTAGTGGTTTTTTTTTTAAAAATAATTTCTCCTTTTTCGTAACTTCTGTTTGTATGTCTTAGAAATCATTTTAGAAATAAAGAATCACAAATTATAATATAAATAAATAATATAGTACTGCCTACTACAACACTGTAACAAACGAGACAACAAATAAAACGTGGTTTTCCTATCGGCGCGGCGGCGAATACATCTACACCGAACGTCACCAGAAACATGAATGTCAATAACAGAAATAACGAATACGATAAGCGAATTCGCGGGCAACGGCGGGAACCGCAAGTCGCAACCGCTGCCCAGTGTACGACCGCGACGAAAACGTATACGGAAAAGAGTGGGTAATACGGTCTCGTGCGCTGTGAAACGTAATAACTAAAAACGGTCGAGCACAATATCTTTTTGCTTAAAAAATACTTGACTTTTTTGCTAATATATTCGTTATTATTCAACCATTTTTTTCGAAAATGACAAAGGTATAAACTACAAATCATGCCCGATCTATTGATACCACAAACAGACCAATCCGTTCATTCATTAGGTCTGTAGCCCTGGCTAAAGAAAACGGGCAAATTTACACACATTCAATGGGCAAACTCTGGCTCGTGTAATATACTACCTACGGTAGTGACCGCTTCGCTTTTTTTTTACTTAGCTTCGAGCCACTACCGTCGCGCTGGATAAATACCTAAATACTTGTAAAAATTCTTAAATTATAATTTAGTAAACTAAGTAAATGGTATTATATAATATTGTATAACCTTTTTAACGTTAATTCATATAATATTATAATCGCAATACGTTATAACATTTAAAACCACCAGAATCATGACAAAATAAATTCTTTTTCACAACTAGAATATTAAGTTAATTATTAATCTTCAGTTAACTCATATTAGGTATAAAGTATAAACATTAAATATTAAATGAAAGTTAAGAGCATAGAAAAGTAAGTAAAGACGTTAATTAAGAAGTTACTAATTTAGTACATACGAGTCTACGAATACGACCGTTGCCGGAGTACGTTTTGGACTGTTGAGTTTCCACATAAATGCAGCTAGATGGTCGGTAGTTCCACAGCTGATTTGGAGACTCAGTTTGACGGTCTTGAAAAGTGCATAATATCATAGTCCGATGTTCAACCTGTATATCTTAAATCGTGCTCTCATCGAGGCGGCGGATGCGACGACGTACGACGATTGGAGATTGGCGTGGTCTCTCGAATGCCGTTAGTCGGCAACCATTTATCATTATACCGTTTCTTGTATTGCTGACGAGTGGCGACCAGCAAGATAGTATATAGATTATAGGTACTTGCTGACGACTCAACGACTGTGATTGTTTAGTGAATTCATGATCCAGCGCGACGGTTTTATATTATTATGCTGAAAACTTTTAACAATAATAAAATAAAACAAGCATTCTGGTGATTAATTCATTAAACGTGGTAACAATTAAAGTCGATGACAAATAATATGCTCTTAGTTCTGTGATTTGCCATCATGGTCCATCTATGACTCAAGTCTCAAGCCCATTACACATCAGTTATTAAACATAATTACAAAAATAAAAAAAAAAACTATAGAAAAAAAAAAACTTAAATAGAAAAAAAGATATAACAACAGGAGGCCAACGATGCATATGCTATTATGGATTATTATTATATACAGTCAAATAAAATCGTGACTTATTTCATAAAAAATGGGGCTGATTCCCCACCAAAAACACTTTGTTATAAATCAGTTTAAAAAAAAGCTAAGTTAAAAAAAAAATTTGTAATAATTAAATCTATAAAAGACGTGATATAATATGGAAATTGAGTAAAATTACATTTTATAATATTACAAATACCTATGATGACAAATAGGATCAATTGTAATGTTGAATACTTATTCAACAATGTTGACTCTAATATTATGTTTAACTGTTTGGCAGGACGTAGAAGTATACTTAAATAAATACAATGAAGTAATCACTACAGTATTTACAGTTATTAATAATGTATCAACAAGATGTTGACTAAGTATTTAACATTACAATTGATCTTATTTGTCATCATAGGTATTTGTAATATTATAAAATGTAATTTTACTCAATTTCCATATTATATCACGTCTTTTAAAGATTTAATCATTACTAATTTTTTTTTTTAACTTAGCTTTTTTTTACACGGAGTTATAACGAAGTGTTTTTTGGTGTGATATATTATTAACTCAAAATATGCACGTTAAATATAAGCCAATCAAATGATGAGGATAACTCCCACTCCATTCTGCGTCGACTAAACGAAATTCAGATTGTTGTGATTATACCTTGTTACTTCGTCATGAGGCGACCGACGTCGATGCTAGCGACGCCTGTTGGCAGTCGCGTCTTGCCGCCGACAGCTACGGGCTTGTGATGCGAGGGGATGCGCAGAACGAACTGATTTTCGTCGGGCCGCAGCGTTTTCTCTCGACGAACAGAGTATAGAGTAGAATTTCAACGTGTAGGCCGTAGGGCAACTTTGTACAGGTTTTAGGACATCTCGGTAGAAATCTCATATATCTCATATACGATATTCTTACCATAATGTATAATACACAAAATAATATAATAATAACTAAATATTAATACAATTAATATAATATAATCTATTAATCTATATATATATTGTGCGAAAGCCGGCTGCACAATAACCGGCATGTAAGTAAGAGTTCACTTATGTCTTATGCTTCCGTATTCCATCCTACCACAATTTCGTCGACGTAGGTATGATTAGTTAAGACGCCCTTGGCGGCGGAAAATAGTGGTTCAGCGCAGGCGTCCAAAGCGTGTAAAACACGTATGGCCAAGAATGGAGCGGAACTCAAACCATATATAACCAGGGCCGGATTTAGAGGAGTGGGGGCCCCCTGGCCCCAAATTATTTTACAAATAAAATGAACAATTTTTTTTCAAAGTAGATTATTTTTCTTTTATTTGTATTTAACAAACATATATACAATATATATAATTTTAATCAGAAACAAGAAATTAAATTTAAGTGTTAACAAACGGAACCTTCCGAGCTTTTTCGCCGAAAAATCGTTGATAAGTTCTCTGAAATCCAGTTCCCGAAGTAAATCACTTTCAATGCTCAGGAGAGAAAGTTTTGATAGACGGTTTTGTCCCATCGTGGTTCGAAGCCTATTTTTTATAATCTTCATTTTTGAAAATGAGCTTTCTCCAGTGCAATTTGATACCAATGCTCCTTAGTGCTGTGTGAACCCAAGGTGGGCCCCAGGCACAACGGTGGGTAGGCGGCGACTATGGCCCGGCGTTCACGGTGATCGGCGGCGGTACTGGAGGGGGATACCCGTTTGCACTGTTTGAACCCAGTATTGGGCCCCAGATACAACGGCGGGTAGGCGGCGGCGGACACTATTCGGACGACGGCGACGGCTCAGGGTCTATTTACTACATACCCCGGCGACTGCTGCGTTGTATATTGATGACTTCACTATACAACCTTATAGTGGTATTTGTTGGTATGTTTTGATTTTGTGGTATCGTCCTGGCTGTGGTTGACTCTTCCCGTGTGACAGTACATATTACGCTACTATATTAGTGTTAATTAGTAGTCTTAAATGTCTAAATGTCGCTGGTACGCACCGTACTAAGAGGACGGCGCGTACCGTGACATCTAGTGCGTTTTTCAGGCGCACGGTTTCGAACGGAATATTCATAATAGTTCTTATTCTGTCGGAGGGTGGCGAGTCGTTCATGATTTTGTTTTCACTGGATCGGTAGAAGTGCGCGCTCTTTAGAGAATCATGACATGGACGATTCTGTCTCGGTACAACCCTGGGTGCATGGTCATCCACTGATCCATTTCCTTATTCACAAATTGTTTAAAGGACCATACACACTACGGTCTAGTGGTTGGAGCTTATGTGAGCAGTGTGGTGAAAATGATAGTAACACAATGCCATTCTCTTTGAAAAATTCAATTACAGACAGATATAAGTGCGACTCGTGGTTGTCTAAAAGCACCAACACTTTTTTTTTCATGGCTGGGTCGAACATGATTGACAAAATGTTCCATCAATTTTAAGAACTCTGGACCTAGCATCCACCCATCTATCCAGGTTTGTTGGCTGTGCCAACACATCTAGCAGGTCCACCCTTTAAAAAATGTTGATGAAATTTGACCCTAGGAAAAACAAACATTGGTGGTAAGCACAACTGGTTCCATTTACTGCTATACACATAGTAACTAAGACACCCCGTTCTGTTGATATTATAGCAGCTATCTGCTTTTTTCCCTTCGTAGCAACTATTTTGGATGGTGTTTGAACTGTTGTTACATCTGTTACATCAATATTATATATGTGTTAAGCTTCAAATGTATATTTTAATAACACTTTTTGAAACTTGTCCATGAATAAATTTACATTAGCTTTATTGAAATTCATGGCCCTGGATAAACTGGTTGCTTCTGGTTACCTGAGAGAAAGACTAGAATTTCTTTTTAAAAATTTTGTAAGCCAATCAGCCTTTTTCCCCATACCTCAGGATACTTGAGGCCTAGTTTGTGTGCAAATTGGTATGCTAGTTGTTTAATGTCACGGGTGGTGAGTACCATATCTGCCGAATTTTTAATATATTGAGCTAGTATTTGTTATTGGTCTACACTAAAAACTTGTATCCTACATTTAGTATATCGAAATCTAAGCCTGTTTTAATTTTTGCTACATACCTTGAAAGACTTACATGACCCAAATCATATTTTTTTGCAGTACTTCTCACTGATTTATTGTCGATGATGACTTCATCAGCGGCAGATTTTATTAACTCTGTTGAGAAACCTCTATTCGTTTTCCTAATAGAGTTTCTAGGCATATTGAAAGTTCTATAAAAGTATAAGTGTATAATAATAAATTAATATGTTATTTATATACTGCTCATGTGTGACATAATTACATAGTGAATTTGTTTAAAATAAATACTATGTTAAAAATGTGTTACAGCTAGCCCTAAACAGTTTGTTACTTTGTACCCCAACATAACTTTTTTTGATATTTATTGTAAATTAAAAGGTAATTTATTACTTACACTAATGAGTGTTATTGCAATTAAATCTCCACAACATTTTTATTTAAGTATAACTGAAATGTGTGACTAAGTTTTAAAACTGTGATAATAAGCTGAATAGTAAGATAACAAAATATTTTCACTATTTACTGATAAAATCAGTTTTATGATTATTGTCCCTTTAATAATTACAGCATGATTCTGATAACAACATAACATATGATAATCTTTATTTATGAATATAACGCTATCTATTGGAATTCTATAGAAGCAATCTACATATACTTTACGCCTATGTTACATCTTACCCCATATTACAACTAGGCCCGATCTCCCCTACATTTTAACAATGTCGGCAATGAAAATATATTTGCATAACCGGAATGTAAGTAAGAGTTCACTTATGTCGTTTTGTAATTTCGGCCCGACACAAAGAATATCATTGAGAGAGACCCCTGACGATGACTTTGCTGACTCGTCGAAAACTGCCCGTAATTTGGATGTATCGCCATCCCTCTTCACTACCGCGTAGTGAGGTATATAATATTTACCAGGTCCTAACGCCAGGTAATCATAATCATTCATAAAAAATCGATATGACTCATACAACAGCCTGTCCTTTTGGAGGCGATATTCCAAGTCCAGTGGCCGTTTCAAAGCTAAAGATCGGGATTCTCCGAGTTGACGACCTAATTCCAGACTTTGGATTGGTTATTTGAATACCATCGTCATTAATGAAAACGGGGTGTCGAAACGGTAGAGCAATACAAAAACGCCCATCTGTGTCTCGTAATGTAGATTTGGTAAGCCACCTCTCACACAGATCGTCTTCCGTTTTAGGAACCGGGTTCTTCAATTGACCAAAACCGATGTAATAAAGCATCTATCGACGGATGAAATGTAAGCTACATTGATATACGTGGGGCCGAAGCCCTTCCAAGAGGGTTCACTAATCCCATTATAATGCATCCCAGACGGCTGTACATGGCTGATGGAAAACCAGCAGTGTGTTTTACTATCGACTCAGAACGGATAAGAAACGGATATAAATCACCTCCAAGTAGCATGTCGATCTGAGACGGAGTGTCGAACTGGGGATCGGCCAATACTAAATGTTGATATTGTGTGCGTACCTCTGGCGGTAGTGGCGTAGATGGCAAACAGACTTTATTTTGGGAAGTACTATTAACTCGTGGCAATTAAATTTTGAACTCGACGTATGGTGTGGTATGAACGAACAAGACGTGCTACCTCTAACTTGGGTAACCGGACTTTGAGATAGACCAACGTCGTGATAAGCCAATGCGAGCTACGCAATCCGTAGTAATTGCCGATATTTGAGACCCACTGTCCAATAATACGCTCACAAAATGATATTTTCCACGCGCATCTAGAATTCGAACAAATAACACCGTAGTACCAGACGCTGACATGCCCGAAAACTTAGCATTGGCGCTTGCACCCTCTCCACCATCGATTGAGACGCTTCAATGATTGGTGGTGGTCGTATTTTCTGATTCTGATTGAAAATGTAACAAAGTGTGATGACGTTGTTGACATTTTCCTCAAAGGTATTTGGATCTACGTGTCAACCATATGCGTCGAACTCATACATGAAAAACATAATTTATTGGTTCGAACGACCACAGCTGCCTCTGCCTCGGTGTCAACGTACACGCTCGATCAGGCAACTAGTTCTTCCGACGAGGATATAGACGATTCTAGGGCACTAACATCCAGCTCAGACACAGGCAGTCCCTCCCTAGCCCCAAGCAGAGCTACATCAGCTTTTTCCACCCCGAGATCAACACGAACGATCACGCGGACCACTGAACGGACGCCACGACCCCGGTCCTGCCGCGACCCGACTCCCTCGCTGCAACCCGCTAGGACCTCCGGTAGCCCGGTCCTTGACCACGACGAGAACTCGGTGCGCACGGCGTCACCCTCGTCCGGTCTCAGTGACGCCCATGATGCAGAGGGCGACAACGACGCAGGTGAGAGCCCCGTGAGTGGCGATGGCGATCTTGCAGCCCACGGTGAGGCCTTGATATTGTCCCCAGACGACACCACCCCGATACATGTGTACCTGCCCGAAGTCCGCGCCCTTGCCAGAGCTCCGGCTACGGGGATGAACTGGGACCGATTCTGCACTATCATGGAAGAGGTGACCTCCACGGCTGCGGCAACAGCAAAACTCCCTACCAGGACTGAGGGCAGCACTAGCAAGAGGTCGGCGGTTGACCCGAATGACGCCCAGGGCATTCAGTCACTCTATCGCAGGAACCGACGCAGTGCAATTCGCGCGATCACGTCTGGTGAAAGCGCCTCCTGCAGCGTAGGAACGCGTGAAACCACGGACCACTTCGCGTCGGTTTGGTCCCCGTCCGCGTGCGACGCATCGGTGTATCCCCGTACGGAGGGACGTACCCCCGTACCAGTTGGACCCTTCTCCTCTGCCGATGTCGTGAAACGCCTCAAGAAATTTGAGAATACGGCCCCTGGTGACGACGGTCTCACATATCACCACTGGAGACGCCTCGACCCGTCCTGCAGTTTGTTAACCGAGGTAATAAACACATGCCTAAGGCACCGTCGTGTTCCCCCGTCATGGAAGAAGGCAGTGACCGTCTTGATCTTCAAGAAGGGGGACAAGAGTGACCTGGGTAACTGGAGGCCCATCTCCCTATGCCGCACCATCTACAAGTTATATGCCGGCTGTATTGCAGGTCGCCTCACGGAGTGGCTGGTGAGCAATGCAGTCCTCAGCCCCTGCCAGAAGGGGTTCCTCCCATCGGACGGTGCGTTTGAGCACGTCCACACTCTTAACCGCGAGCTTGAAAAAGCCCGGACTGGCAAATCCGACAAGTGTGTGGCGTGGCTCGACGTGTCCAACGCGTTCGGGGCAATCCCCCACATGGCGCTTGAGACAGCCATTGAGAGCTGTGGCGCGGGCGAGGGGCTCCTCCGGATTGTCCAGGACATCTATAGCGGTGCAACATCGTCAGTGAGTGTTGCCGAGGGGAAGACCCCTAACATACCCGTGCTGTCTGGCATCCGCCAGGGGTGCCCATTGAGCGGACTGCTCTTCATTATGGCAGTAGACCCAGTTGTCTCGGCGCTGCAAGGTACAGACGCTGGCCACCGGGTCCTGGCCTTCGCGGATGACCTGTGCCTACTTGCAGATAATGCGCCGGACCTCCAGTCTAAGATCAATGATGCCAGGGAAGGACTCGAGAGGAGGGAATACATGCCTGTTGTGACTGCTGAGACCATCGTGTCTGTCTAGAAACTATTATTGGAGTATCTGGTTCTGATTCATTATGTGTAAGATATTTTTTATATCTTCCTCTCGGTATGCTTCGTCTACTGACATTGTTTTCTGACATTGACATAATTATTGACTATTTTAGAATCTTTAAAAGTATTAATGTATTATCGACTAATCTTATATAATAAAACGCTAATAACGCGTATAAGATCCGCGGGGAGCGCTCACGGCACTCCGCGTTTCTTCCATGACGACCAATCACAATACTTCCCGCGCGTTCGCTATAAATTCCGCTCGCTTATCTCCCATTTCCTTATCGACGAATATTTTCGAACATTATTATTATTATTAAAAAAAAACCCGTGTTTTTCAATTTTTTGACGTGATAATAACGTCTTATAAATCGATTACCCCGCGACCGTCGGGCGGAGTGGGGGGACCCATTAAACGAGTAATTATTTTTGACCAAGTATAACTTAGGGCCGTTCTTACGACGTCCGGTTAAAGTTAACCGACACTTAACCGGAAGAATTCTGCCGGTAATAAAATATGTTATCAGTCGGTTAGCGTTAACCGACACTTTACCGGACATTGTAAGAACGGCCCTTAGCCGGTATTCGACTTAGAGACCCCGTACCAATGGGCATCTCAATTTTTTAGGCCCCAGATGAATTTTCAACATTAGGGAACCAAAGCCCCCACCCCCCCCCCACATTTTGAGTTGAGTATAACTCGGCCGGAATTCAAGTTAAACACCTCGGACCAAGGGGGAACCCATTCTTTTTATGAATACTACCGTTTTCCGCTTTAGGGGACGGGGGCACCTCCTCCCCCCTTTTTGGATTTTGCTTTTTTGATGGATTTTGGTCCGGGAGAGTACTAACACCCACCTCGCCAAGGGGAAACTCGGGGTTTTGAGTTTTTGATAGGATTTATTGGGATTTTCTTAAATATTGTTTTTATTGATAAGGAAAGTGATAAGAATTTTATTTTATCGCCGTGAGCACGACGACGCGGCTTAAGAGTCATACATTTGCCTCGGAATTTTATCTGAGTAGGTGGCTAGGTTGGTTAGGCGTTAGGATAGGTGACTCGAGGGTCGTGGTTTCGAAACCGCTGCCTTGACAATAGATTATTTGCGGCGCCCGTGATAAATGGAATTTTTTTTTCGCGTTTTTTTTTGGTCACATTAATCATGTGTTCCGATTTTTTTCAAAATTCGCGTTATTATAATATTATATATATATCGGTATTTATATATATTTATTTTGCAAAAAAATAATAATTAACATTTAATTAATACTTGATTTTACCGTGACCAACCTACAATATAATTGTAATGTAGTACCTACTTGATATATTACAGTTTTTAGGTGATTCCGATTGGGTTAAATATTGCTACAGATTATAAATACTGTTTAATATGACTGCTCCATTTGCCGTTTTTTTCGAAAATTCGAGTTTCAGCCCCATTTCGGTCGTATCACCCTCCCCGTCGACGACTTATTCGAGTTCCCCGCTAAATTTATAGCCGGCGTGCGGCCCTACTTTTCCACAGACGAGTCCCGGGGAGGAGAGGCGTCGCGGAAACGAGAGTAGGTACCGTGTAGGTATCGCTATATACAGGCATAAATACATGCGTCGAGGCGTTTTTTGGGGAGCCGTCACTGCGTTATCTTTCCTCCTTATCACTTTTCACAGTTTTGACCATTTTTCACAATTTTTTTTCAACATTTTTGAGGTTTACCCCCCTCGGGTGCCTCGGGAGGGCCCGTTTGGACCTTATTCGCGTTCCTCGGTAAATTTATAGACGGCGCGCTGTCCTACTTAATTCCCGGCCGGCCCGCGGCGGCAGATATCGCGTGCGATACGAGCGCCGCCGTCGCGCATGTTTTTTGCCGTATTTTTTTAAAAAATTCGAGTTTTATCCCCTTTCGGTCGTATCGCCCTCCCCGTTTGGATCTTATTCGCGTTCCCCGCTAAATTTATAACCGGCGCGAGGCCCTACTTTTTCAAAAACGAGTCCCGGCAAGGAGCGGCGTCGCTTAAACGAGAGTAGGTACCGGGTATGGTATCGCTATATACAGGCATAAATACATGCGTCTCGAGGTTCGATTTTCTTCGCGAATCTCGCGACGGTCGTCCGCTCGCCGATGCTGTCGGATCGCCCGCTCAAACTCCATTTGAACCTCTTCTAAACGGCGTTCGCCTTTCGCGGGGACGGCAACGCGGCTTAAAAGTCATAGATTTGACTCAGGTTTTCATCTCAGTAGGTAGTTAGGTAGGTTAGGCGTTAGAACAGGTGACTCGAGGGTCGTGGGTTCAAACCCCCCGGCCACCGGGAATAGACGATAATTTGCGGCGGCCGTGATAAATTAATTTTTTTTTTCGTCATTCGCTATCACTTCCGTCTTATCATTTTTAACGTAAATGTTCCGATTTTTTTCAAAATTCGAGTTTTAACGCCTCTACTGACTTCGGACCTCCCCGTTGAAGACTTACTCGCGTTCCCCGTCAAATGATTTAGCAGAGCGGACAGTGTCTTTATTACTATACATGGGCGTGAATATATTATGCGACGAAGAGTTCGATTTCTTTTTTTTTCAAAAATT